ATGATGATGATGATGGTGATGGTGATGATGATAATGGTGATGATGCTAGTAATGATGATGATGATAATGATGATGATGATGATGGTGATGGTGATGATGATGATGATGATGGTGATGGTGATGATGATGATGATGATCATAATGATGATGATAATGATGATAATGATGATGGTGATGAGTAGTTGGCACTGAGTTAAAATCAATGAATTTTAAGCACAAACCTCTTGCAATTCGTCAATTTGTTGTGTATCAAATCGTGAAAAGCCTCCATGTTTTCGGTTCAATGGTAACGTGTTGCTAGTGTGTCGAGCTTTGCGTCGAGTTTGTATTTTTTCAAGGTCGTCGGCTCTGTTTCTTTTGTCTCTTCTTTTAAACATTTCTAATAAAGTAAAAGACAAATTTAAGGATGAACTGACTCGGAGGATAGCTTTGGTAATTTGTACCTGTACTATACCACAATTCTTTTCGGTTCATTACCAATACATTGTTGATCAAAATYTGAGGATCCCAGGCTGGAGACGATATGGAATGTTTCTGTTATTGAAGATTTTATTGCCTATCCATACATACTAACAGTTTGAAAGTATTTCAACAAATAAAGAAAGGAAATCTTGGAAAGGATTGCGATTCATCAGATCAGTGTCATGGGTTGATAGCATGATGAATAACGGACAAGCAATCGGAAAACTAACTGAAGAAAACGAAGACATTACGAATGAAATACGATGAGTGACGGTCATGACCATAGCATAGTGGCTGAAGTATCTTATTGTGCAATAGCCACAAAATGTGTTGTATGTTTAAGCTGTTACAATTACTTTACATTTTTAAACGAAGACGACGTAAAAGTGTAGAAGCATTAAAGGAAGGATAATTACTTAAAAAGGACCAATTGTATAATCTCTATAATTGTTATTGCTCAGCTTGATAACATTGCCATACATTGAAGAAAATGTGTCATGATAATTATGACAAAATTGCGTAAAATAACTCAATTTCAGACATTAATTTGTGTGGGTACCTTACCTTTCTTTAGACAAAGTTTTCTGTATTGAAAAATTATTTGATKCAAAGTGCTGCGTCTTATTTCCTTCGCTCGTCGACGTTTTGACTTCTGTTTCAGCTATATGACTCATAAACAATGAAAAGGAAACTTTCCGTGAATAAATACAGGAAGGTTGGAACCATCTGAGCCGACTGGTGCGGCAACATCTTGACGGTGCAGTCCTCCTCCCCCCCCCGGATTTCTGTTATGAATGCTTAAGGGGAAGGAGGGAGGAACAAGTGCATAAAGACTTCTTTTAAATTGTCTCTTTAGCGACTCTTTTATTTTCATTTTTAGATCGTTATATACTATATGTTTCGTTTTATGACTAATACTCTTAAGGCCAAGGGCTTCCTGTTTTCAGAACCACAGGGAGCCCGTATAGTACGTGGAACGCCTTTCGCATTTTGACAAGTTAGTTATGGAAAACGCTSCATGCTTTGAGAAATAATCCTTTTTGCCCGTCAATGAGCATCGAAAATAACTGCATTGATGTCATTATCAAGTTGGGAGGATGTGCTATAACTAATAAGAGTGAATTTGAGACAGAAAATGCTCCAGCTWTTGAAAGAGCAGCGAAAATTGTCGAAAAGTTGAAAGGCCGATGTGTCGTCGTTCATGGGGCTGGGTATGGTCCTAACTAGCCCGTGGTCGCTCATGTCAGAGTCTTATGTCACATGCATGACTTCATTTCTTTGTATTATTTCTACAGTTGTCAGCTTTTTATTTTGCTTATGTCGTCGTGTGCTAAGGCCCATATCTAATTTATGAATAGGTCATTTGGGCACTTCCAAGCACATGAATATGGCATTGCAAAAGGTTTTGGAAACGRTGTAGAGAGAGGAAAAATAGGCTTTGCTAAGACAAGATTGTCAGTCACAAAGGTAACTCAAAAGTGCTCAAAAAGTACTCAAAAGTGCAATCGTTTTAGGCGAAGTAGGGTCACGAATGGTCGTTTCACTTTGAGTCTATTTGACTTTTGTTTTGTGACAGTTGCATGCCATAAGTCAGCTGCAAACAAGGCCTTTTTCTTTGTGTTTTCTCTTCAGCTCAACCACAAAGTGACTGAGGCATTTGCCAATCATGGGATACCTGCTGTTGGGCTGTCAGTTAGTATTGCAATAGTCTTCTTCACGGTTCCCTGCGCCATCTTGAAAAGTAGACATGCCTTTGCATCGAAGTGAGACCGTAGAGTATGCAATGATAGAAACCTTCTTTCACACCTACAGACAATTATTCGCAAGTACCTATCATTGCACTCTCAATGGTTGTCTTGCTTCAATGTAAAGGCACAGCCACATTTCAAGATGGAGCAGGGAACTGTGAATAAGACTATTCACAAGTCAATCACATTTCCCACTTGCTCATCCAATAATTTTTTTATTCATTCATCTGTATTCATCTGCATTCATCCATCCATCCATCCTTTCATCAATTCATTTTTAAATGAAAATAAAATTAAAATACTGCTTGTTCCCAGATGTGTGGTACCTGGACAACATCGGCAGGTCATGTGACTAAGGCTGATCTAGCTCAAGTGAAGCAATTATTGAGCAGTGGTCTTGTGCCAGTACTTCATGGAGATTGTGTCATTGATTCACAACAGGGATGTGCTATATTAAGTGGTGATAAAATTATTGAGGTAAACCAGGAGAAATTGCACTCCATTATTTTTAAAGCTAACTAAGGTCAGTTTGCACCGGCGATTTGGGCGACGATCTTTTGGCCGATCTCCATAAATATATAATAGATTTTGTCTTATCCTTCTGGGATGTTTAGTTTGCTCATCTCAGTGTGCTGAATAAAGTTAATTACAAGTTAATTCTGTCTTTAGCATATTTGCTAGGGTCCAAATGACCACAAAATGCTGCAAAATAGCGTAAACTGGCCTATAGACTTGCAGTTCCATCTGGGGAAGAAAACAATGGATTCTAGTTCACTTAGAGAGGAAAAATCATTTCTTTTGTCCCTAGCTAGCTGTCCCTAGCTTATAATATACATGGAAGAGATCTAGAAAAAAGACTTTCTTTGTGTTTTAGAGACTTGTTCAGGATCTACTTCCAAAGAGAGTTGTATTCTTGACAAATGTTAAAGGAATCTACGATAGGCCTCCTGAAATGGAAGGTAAAAAATAACAATAATTATACTATGTCTAACAAAGGCTCTAAACAAAATCATAAACCCAWTTCAACTTMAATTTCCTCATAGGGGCATTTTTATTGCAAGAAATCAACATCAATGATGAAGGAGTCATTTCCATCCCCATAGCAACCAATTCKTAYACACACGACGTCACYGGTGGACTGCAAGGGAAATTGGAGTCTGCTTCAACCATCGTTACCAGGTSTAAAGGACGCACAAAAGTGTTTGTAGCAGATATATCCTCTGAATGTGGATATAAATGTTGTGTTGAAGGGTGTACCTTACCAGGGGAGGGGACAGTCATTCAATTGTCTCCTCAGAAGTAGACAGTTGGTTTACAGTTTGATGCTTTGRTTATAAATTTTGAATRATTTGTAACCAGTTTCGAAAGGGCCGTGGCATCTATTGTAAAACTCATGAATTAATGAGGAAAACACAGTAGAAATCACAACCGTGAAGAGTGTNCACTCTATTAGACTAATACACCTTAGTAGTCTCTAATTCCATTGTTTTCTTTTGTGTCTATTTGACTATTACACCTTGACTATTAGATTTTGTTTCACAGGTTTAATGTCTTCACTCTATTAGACTAATACACCTTAGTAGTCTCTAATTCCATTGTTTTCTTTTGTGTCTATTTGACTATTACACCTTGACTATTAGATTTTGTTTCACAGGTTTAATGTCTTCACTCTATTAGACTAATACACCTTAGTAGTCCCTAATTCCATTGTTTTCTTTTATGTAACTATTAGATTTTGTTTCACGGGTTAAATGTCTTCACTCTATTAGACTAATACACCTACTTTACTTGACCTTTACACCTTGAATCTTAGATTTTGTAGTGGATTTTTAAACATCAGTTCACTCTGGAACAGTTTACCAAAGTTATAATGAAACACAGGTTTTTGCTACTTCATGTTTGGGCAGGAAATCGTGTTGGCAGAAAATTAGTTTTTTTGGGAGGGTATTGCAACCTTTGATCTCATTGCTTCCCATGTCTATCAGTTCCAACAGTTGACGCCTATGACATAGCCTCCAGCATTGTATCATATTTAGGAGTATGAGTCATGCATACATTGTATAAGATTTAACAATTGATGTTGTTTTTCATTTGAGAAAGCACTATATTTGTTTAGAATTTATGGAGTTCCTAATTCGAATTGTAAGTCAACGGATGAGGTTTTCCTAAGTAAACAAAACTAGTTTTGGCAGAATAATGTTAGTCTAGTTTGTGATTTTTTTTATTTTAAAATGTGCTGTTGTTTTATGATAAATCTCCTTTACTTACTGTATTTGAATAATTATTATACATAGTTCAAGGAATGTGACTTATGCTGTACTCCATGGCGGTAATGAGAGTTCCAGCAGTGATTTTAAGACAAGTTTTAGATTACAGTATCTAAATTTGGGACAGAAATACATAAGTGTATAGCATCGTCCCCAAGCACATCCTTGGGAACCCACAAGTCTTTTGCTCATTGCTCACTCCCAGAAATAGAACCCTTGGGTACGAAGTCTGTTAGACCTTGTTCTTGAAGTTGAAGTTACCTGCTGAGGTTGATCGCATGCCGTGGCATGTTGTTTTGCTGTCTATAGTGACCCTAAATTACAAATGAATGTCTTAACAAAGTTAGAATTGATACTTAAGGAGTGTTTTGGTGTTGAAGTTGAAACTTTTAAAAAAATGAGTAAGTAATGATTTATTCATGAAATCTTATTGGCCAATCTTTGGTCGATCTTAGCTTGTTTTTGATTGGTTGATAGGTGCTTAGCTTGCTTTTGATTGGTTGATAGGTGGAGTAAAGCTCGCTCATTGGTTGATTTATGTAGGAGACACCATTTTGAATTTTCAAAACAAAAAACAATGTCTGACAGACTATGTACCCAGGAGATATTACTCCCATATTTACTGTATTGTATAAAAATGATGTTTTGCCTTCTTTTTTCAGCAAAGCAACGTTGCAATGAAACTCTAGCAAGAGCATGTTATCAAGAATTCAATACCAACGCAACAAGAATATGCAAAGAAGTAAAGCAACTCCGTAGATGTCTTGATCGTTTAAAAGGATGTCATGAAATGAAGCATCCATCATATACGTTATCTCTTAGCTTATTAGATAAGCACAGAAGGTGCTTCTTTGTGAATTACTCCAAAATTCTGGAAGTGCTTGACAAGAAACCAGGTAAGATAGTTATGAATGAAAGTTTGTAGATACACTGAAACAAGAACTAGTTAAACTGGTGTGAGCAGCRTCATGGTTTCTGTAATGTTTATTTCGCCAGTAAACCCCTTCAAGCTATCGTTTATTGCTTTTATATTGTAGCCGGCTTCTGCCATTTAGACTCAAAAGTCTTACAAGACAGCAGGCTGGTTTACCAGTGAAATAGTCCATAGCTTTTCTCATGAAATCTGCCAATCAGCACCCATGTTAGAATTGAGCTATAATATAAACAATGGGATGGAATGGAATGGAATGGAATGGGATGGGATGGAAAGAGAGTTATCACTTTCATAAATTCTCACTAATATATGATTCCTTTCTCTTTATTTCAGGACATAAGATTCAAATTCAACCAAATACATCTGCAAACACAGAAGAAGAAGAAACATCATCCGATATTTTACCATATACCTTCGTTGTCGTAGCAACAGTGTGCACATGTTTATTTTTGGTYATATTAGTAGTRTTTAGTGTGGTACGGCACACTTCRATACTCCGTCGACAAAGACATACAACAGTAGAACGGCCGCCAATTGGATTAGTTGTCAGTCCATGTAGGCCGTCATCTCAAAGAACTCGCAGACACTTCCGCCGTGGACGTCATAATCGGCGGAGACATATGTATGTTATACATGAAGCTAGACAAACTGTWTCTGGGTTTTTCGAGGGCAATGTTCCTCCACCGCCTTACAGTGCAGTACTAGACGAGACTGAAAGCTTAAGGGCAGGTGATCGACCGCCTCCTTATCAACCACCGCCGTACATCTCAATTGGAGTGATTGTTTAATCGATTTAAATGAATTCAGAGATTATATATAAATATATATGGAACAATTTTATAAAAATTGAGACCTACTGTGCCAATACATGGACTGCAAACGCAACGCTGTGTACAAAATATGTAGTCAGTCGTCCATTGAAATCATGCACTTGGTTACTTCAGGAGTTTCTATCTGTATTTCCTGTTTGTGTGGTAAAACTAGAGAATTTATGCAGTGTTGCCATGTACTGGAGGTCTTAGTGGTTTCTACATTTAGGACAATCCTAGTCTCTCTCTTCTATGAGTGCACAGGAAACCCACTCATGAGAGTTAGGTTATATTTACTGTTTGTACATACAAAAAATTATCTAAAAACACTTTTGGGAACCTTGAATACTAAGGGAACAAGGAATTACTCTCATAGTTTTGAAAACCTTTATAATTTCTTGAAATAAAATATGATTTTCTTGACTCAGAAAAAGCTCATAATAGTTTACCTTTGCAGTGAAAATTGTRGAGGTTTTATACGTTTTCTTATGAATCTATGATTGCTAACTGCAATGTTTGGTTGAAAAAAATACTTGTACAGCTTTTGCCTATCAGTGTGTGACGTAAAAAAAGGAGTAATTTAAGACAATGATCACCTCAGCTGCATTGTTTGAACTGGTCTTGATGCTTGGCTTTTTACTATTGATGTGAACAATGATTTGTTTCTGCAATTACTGCACAGCCAAAACCTGAACTTCAAACCACTCATACATTTATGAGCAAGTAGAAACTTTTGTTACTACATTGGTAGGCAAAATTTGTGGAGTGCTTATTAGTACTTCATTGGTTATTGTTTGTGACTAATGGAAAGACTATTTGAAAAAAGTCGAAGAACTTTAAGAATCTCAAAACTTGTCTGTTTTATATTTTCCTGTGTCGTTTTATAGTTTTGCCTTGATTAAAACCTRCTTAGCTTGACTACTGCCAATTTGTAATCACAGACATCATTACAAGCTTATTCGAACGGGTTCTCTTGTTTTATGCAAAGGTGCAGAGCTTTTCAAGATGGTACAAGGAAACTGTAAAGAACCTTTATCYCAGTCTTGTATCTTTTCACAATAAAAGTTATGAATTCTTGAAAACTGTGGTCTGCTTCATTAACAAACAAATATTATACACTTAACGCTTTTATTTGTTTTATTGGCGCTGGGCTTCTTCATAGTTCTTACTAAACTACTAACCAACCAACATTTGCCTAAAATACTTGGTTGGTCTAAAATACATATTCTCCTGGCAAAAAGCAAAGTTTGAGAATTCATAATTTGATCAGGTATTTTAAGGTGTTTTCTACACTGTTTAACTGGTAATAATGTAGATTTTCTCTGATGTTGTATCAAAAGCTGCCAGTCATTTGGAGAAGGGAAATGACAAATTTTGACGAATTCATAAACTTTGCCATCGAACTCAACTTTGTTCTTGTTTGCTTTCATGTCTCTATTATATCAACTTTGTACACATTCTAATGGAAATTTCTTCTCATAATTTTCAATACTTTCCATTTGCAGACTTTGCTTCCCTTATCTTGATAACTCCTTACCATTTCCTTATAAACTATACAAACTAATTGCGTCTTCTTGGATAGTAAACTCTGTACCTCTTACTTTCTTCTATTCGGATGGTTTAGGTTTAATAGATATCTAGTGGGCAATAATCATTTCCAGAGTTTCCACCTTCGAGATGTTATCCTTCAGAATCGCTATCACTACTACTAGACTCACTACTATCAGATGAACTTTCCACATAAAAATTTGTTCCCTTAGAGTTCTTAATCCCACGRTGGCCAAATCCTGCACTTGCCAAGTCACTTTTTGGGTTGATAGTTCTAAAGTTTCCTTGTGTTTCAAYGGCTGGCCGATGAGTGTATCTGAATGGYAACAATGGTGCTCTTCTTGCAACTGAATTACAAGCGAATAAWGTCTGTTTGGTTGAGGCAATACGAGGACCATGATGTCCAGGAAGGGAGGAACTATTTCCAGGAAATGATGAATTTCCAGTAAGGGAAGTACCATTTCCAGAAACTGTTTTATTACTTTGGTTTGCATTTGAAAGTGTTTCTGAGTCACTTTTTCTTTTTGATTGYGATAAAGTRTGTGKRAGAAAAGAATTTTGTCTTGCTGAATTCTGAGTAGATTTCCCAGCCATTGTGTGAAAACTACGAGTTTTTGTGCTYCCACTTGGTTTGTGAGGTGGTTTTTCATTCTTCTTAGATGTTTCCTCTTCCCTTTCTTTCATTTCCAMTTCCTTCTTATTCTTCCAGTTTTCATTCCCTTSTGTAAYAATTTGAATCATTTCCTCGTTCCATTCCAGTAACTTTACCAAACGCTTTATGCCTGACACAACATCACCCTTAAGTGTGACATCATTGCGCCTGCCTCTCCAAGGACTGGCAAATGGACCTACTGCTTCACGGTTTATAAGAAGTCGAGGTGTCGAACGACTGACTTCGCTCACAATCCCAGCAAAAGGCTCTACCTAAAAATAGTCAATAAATTTGTATTTACTATTAGAATTTATGAGAACATCTTCAACAAGATATTGGCCTCTTTTCATTAAACAGCTGCTTGTGACAAACCAGTCAGCTGAAAAGCAGAAGAGAGGTGTTGGAGACTCAAAAGCCTTGTTTCTACATGATCACTTTGATYGCAAACAATTTGGTTCAGTGAACGTGCTAATTATATTGGAACCCTGTCCATCAATCACTGAATTAAGACAATATTTCTTGACAATTAACATTCATCCTACACAACCCAGGTTGTAATTTTCTACCTGGGTTCCAGAGGATGAATAATATTGATTTTTCTACAAACCTCTAGTGAAGTTCCCATCACAATCAGCAAGTCGCACTTRGGGAARTCATCCTCAAAAGAGTAAAACCTCTTTGGTAGGTCTTCACCAAAAAATACAATATCAGGCTTGATGACACCCTTTGGAGAAAAAGGAAAAACTTAACAACCCTTACTTATAAAGGTTAACCYTGTTCTGATCTGYGACAAATGGTGAAACAGATGTAACTTGACATCACGAATACAAAGAAATGCAGTCAATAAGAAGAAAAAGAAAAAGGACKGAAAGAAGGAGAAATGAAGTAGAGAAAGGAATAGCAAACTGAAGAAGATGGCAGAGAARCAGAAAACGAAGATTCCACAAGGAATCACACACTCATAAAAGAAAAGAAGCTGGCTTACATTACACTTAGATGACTGGCATCTTGGAATGTCCCCTTTTAAGATAATTTTCTGAAAAGCAATAGATTAAACGTTTATAAGTCTTGAAATTCCTAATATATCTGGGGCGTAGGCAGATATAGTCACATAAACAAGAACTAAAATAGCAACACAAAGAAAACAAATGAATAGCTTTGTTGGAACCTCAGTCTGAATTCAAGTTTACCTTTATGTCATCTCCATTATAGGTTTTACGACAACAAGTACAAGATGCTGATGAAAATGTCCCATGAGCCTCCACAAGCTTGTCAGATGATATACCAACCACTGAAAAAAACATATAAACAGATGACTAAACATTTTTTTAGTATAAACATATTAATGGTCTATCACTCATATTGCGCTGTGATTGGCTACTCTACTAATGGTCTAATTTGTGATAGACCACTCATGGGA